ATAGACTGAGCCCTATCACTGGCCACTGATTTGACCCCTAAACTTTACAACTTCTAACTGGTTACAGACTGCATCTCTAACTCTAGTCATAGACTGAATTCCTAGCTCTCATCACAGACTGAGCCCATAAGCCTAACCTCTGACTTAAGCTTTCAACCTGAGAATAAATCTGATTTATCCAAATGGCTGATGACTGATCCTGAATCTTTGAGACAGACTGAACCCTATGTCTGGCTAAATGCTCGCCCCAGACTGGATCCCAATTTCAACCACAGCTTTAACTTACTTTAACCCTGGATACAGACTGATTCCTAATATCAGAAATTAAGCTACTCACCAGCACTGAGCAGAGACTGAACCCAAACCTTGAAGATGAATGAAGGACAAACCAGAGAAAGAAAAAACAAATACTTTTCATCTTCTTAGCCTAAAACCCAGTAACAGATTTAATTCTAACCCTGAACACAAACTGAACTCACCATGGCTAAGATCTGGGCCCTACTTCTGGCCACATTCTTAACACTGAGCTGGGATGAAGAATGTAAGTCCTGCCACAGACTGAGACCTAAAGACCGAGCCCCAAGCCTGACTAGAGAATGATTCCGGACCCTACAAGACTAAATCAAAACACTTCTCATACTATCAACCCTAACATCAGGCTGAGACTAAGTCATAACCTTTCCTTTGTCACAGATCAAGTCTTAAACCCATAAACAAAGTTCACTATATTAGTGGCCACAAACTGAGTCCTAGCTGGAGGTTAAGCAATCAGTCTGGCCACAAACTTAGCCCTCAATTGGGAATGGATGTACCTGTGGCACTGGGCACAGTATGGTCACTAACAATTAGCACAGACTGAGCTCTACTAGTGATACTCAAATACCTGCTACACTAAGCCAGAGTCTAAGTGCCAAAATGACAACAGGAAATGAACACTCTGAACTCAAACCCTGGCAACATCCAGATCCCAAAACCTTGATTATGGCCTCAGCCTCTAAAGCTGAACTCCAGCTGGATTTTATGTGTTGTTTGTTCTCACCTCAACGCTATCTACAAACTGACAAATAACATCAACAGCTAATCCAAAAAACCTGTTTACGCTCTTAATCGTAAAACCTTCTTCATAGTAATCCTTACCTTGGTCATTGGTAACTCCTAAACTCTGACACAAGTTTAATCAGATAGCACCACCGCCAATACTCAATGAACACAAATGCTACATAAAGTAAAAGTGGAACTACTCCCTCCAGACTCAACCCTGACAGTGGCCAAATTGAAATGGCTAACTCAGGTCACTGACTGAGCTCTGCTCTGACCACTGTGAGTTAGTTCCAAAGAACATTCCTGATATGAGCTATGGACACAGATAGAATCCTGACACTGGCTAAGGTCAGAAATCACACCTTGAACTTACTCTAGCCAAATATGCATCCCAAATCCTGTTCATATTCATCATTGAAATCCTGGCCACAAACCATACCATAATTTTGTCTATATATGAAATGTGAACTCTAGTTTGAGACAAGGCTCCAGGGCACATGACAGGTAATGTCTTAACATGGCAATAGACTGAATATTAGACATTGACTGTGCCTTACCATTGGCCACAGACTGAGACCTAATTATTGGACCTAGAATAAACTTTAACCATGAATACAAATTGAAACTTAACCTGATGAAAGACTGAACATAAATCCTGTTCATAGTTGTACTTCTTTTTTCCCTAGGCAACATTATCAGCATGAACACTAATCCCAGGAAGAGCCATGGTCCTGGCCCTTATTGACTTTCAAGCCTAGAAATAAAACTGATTCCAACATTGACCAAAAACTAAAGTCAAACCTTGAGCTGAGTCCTAACCCTGGGTGTGGTCTAAGTCTGGTCCACAGACTGAGCCCTAACTCTAATTTTAGAATGAGGCCTCTTCCTATACACAGACTAAATCCTAATTCTGGCCAAAATTTGAACCCAAGTCTTGTACCTTGACTTCATAAACCAGACCACTCTAGACTTACAGCAGCCTCAGAGTAAGCTTTAACACCCTGAGGCTGCTGTTAGTCCAGAGTGGTCAAAGATGCACTTTAATCTACATGTCACAGATTGAACCATGGCTATCACTCTGAGGCCTAACATTGATATCAGGCTGAACCCTAAACTTGGTTTGATGGTCTTCTGATCATAAATCCACATTAGCCTGTAAAAATAGCTACAGGCTTACTAAATCTTAACCTAAGAACACATTGAAGCCAAATACACTCCACATTATACACATGAACCCTGGTCTTGACCTGAGCTTTACACTGGCTCTGGATACAGCTCTAACCTTGACCTCCTAATTGATCTCTGAATCCAGCCAGCCCATTTGACCCTGAGCCACTAGTTCACAAATTCATCTTATTATGCAACAACAGATCAAAGAGTATCACTTTTGTATGTACACATACAAATATATATATATATATACACATTTGTGTTTATATATATTATATATATTTCTGTATAGCTTATTTTATATATATATATATATATATATATATATATATATATCACCATACAGAAATAACCATACATACATAGCTGTGACAAGACATATTACTTATCACAGCTACGTATTTTAATTATTTATCTTGTTTGTTGATGGTTTCTCCCTAATAAAATATTACCTCCAAAAGGAAGGGATGTTGTGTGTTTTCTACTTCTCTATTCCCAGCATCTAATAATGTCTGGCACATTACAGGTACTCAATAAACATTCATTAAATTGATGAATGAGTAATTTCTTGTTACTCTTCTGTCTGGCTACTTTACCTCTCTGTAACATATGCCAGTAATTCTACTTTGTTTTCTCTTGGTTCATCTATTTTGCCATTCTTTCTCAGCTTCCTTGGAAGGCATCTCTTCTTCTACCTGCTACTTGAATATCATTATTTTCTAGGATTCCATAATCTTTGCCTTTTTAAAAATTATTATTCTAAATACTCTCTTAAGTTGGCCAGGCACAGTGGCTCACGCCTGTAATCTCAGCACTTTGGGAGGCTGAGGTGAGTGGATTATTTGAGGTCAGGAGTTTGAGACCAACCTGCGCAACATGGTGAAACCCCATCTCTACTAAAAATACAAAAATATTAGCCAGCTGTTGTGGAAGGAGCCTGTAATCCCAGCTACTCAGGAGCCTGAGGCAAGAGAATCGCTTGAACCTGGGAGGCGGAGGTTGCAGTGAGCTGAGATTGTGCCATTGCACCTCCAGCATGGGTGACAGAGTAAGAATCCGTCTCAAAAAAAAAAAAAAAAAAAAAAAAAAAAACACACCAAAAAAAACCCTCTCTAAGTTTAATCCATTTTTCACTAATTTAATTCCCATCTATATTATAGTAATATCTCCCAAATGTTTAGTTCCAACCAAGACCTCTCTCCTAAGCTTCCCACCAGCATTTCTCAGCAGCCTATCAGGCATCTCCACCCAAAGATTCCACAGACTCTTCAAATTTTAAGTTTCCCAAACTGATTTACTTCTATTCTTCACAAAACTTGCTATTCTTTCTAGGTTCCCTGTCTCCGTGAATGGTATTACCATACACTTAGTCTTCCAAGTCAGAATTTAGGAATCATAATGGACTTCTCCCCTTCTCTCACTTTCCACATCCACCAACTCCTTCTGATCATTCTATTTCCTGCTAAAAATCCTGTGATGAACAGGAACCCATGTTTTAACTCACCATTAAAACCCAAAACCTGGCACAGTGTACGGAACATAGTAGATGCTCTGCAAATACTTTGAAATCAATGATCGAACGAAAGTAAACAGTCAAGGGAAAAAGATAAAAAGAAAGGAGATAAGCTGAGAAAAGAGCTTCTGCATTTGATTCACACAATGTTTTTCTGGTGGTCATAATACTGAAAATGCCTTGTTTCAGTCTTTTTATGGCTGAAATGAGGCAATTTTTTTCTCTTTTCTTTTCTCTTTCTTTTTTTTTTTTTTTTTTTTTTTGAGAGACAGGGGGTCTTACTCTGTCACTCAGGCTTGAGTGTAGTGGCACGATATCAGCTCACTGCAGCCCTAACTTCCTGAGTTCAAGGGATTCTCCTGCTTCAGCTTCCTGAGTAGCTGGGACTACAGGCATGCACCACCATGTCTGGCTAATTTTCCTGATTTTTCATAGAGACAAGGTCTCATTATGTTGCCCAAGCTGGTCTCAAACTCCTGGGCAATCCTACCAACTTGGTGTTCCAAAGTGTTAGGGTTACAGGCATAAGCCCCTGCACCCAATCAATTTTTCTTTAAAAAAAAAAAAAACCAAATTATTTTCCTGGGGGAATTTAAAAGTATAAAAGTTTAAAAAATAAATAAATAAATAAAAAAGACAAAAAAAGTATAAAAATTATTAAAACATAATTTAGCAATTACCACCCTCCAGAATGATTCCCCATAATATCCCAGCATATGTGTTCCCAGTATGTTCTATGTGTATATGCTTTAAAAAATAATCACTGTATAAGCACAAAAACTCCTCGGATGGTTCTCTCCCACTTTCAAGTTAAATTCTAAATTAATTGATATGACTACCTGCTGCTGCCTGATCTAGTCTTTGCAATATGGAACTTTTGTTGTTGTTCTCTGCACTTTTTTATGCCTTTATGCCTTTGCACATGCTTTGTATAGAATATGGTTGACCACCCTGCCCCAAATCTGACAAATATTTCACTGGTTCTTCAACCAGTTCTCCAGAAGTAGAATTAGTTCTTCCTCCTCTATGTTCCTGTAGAAGCCTATGCACACTTCTTTAGAGCATTTTGCACATTGTATACTCATCTATTCCTCCCCCCAGATTCTCCTCCACTACAACTCCCCTCACCTAGATTATGAGGTACCTGAGGGGAGGGACTATTTTTCTAATTCTGTGGCAACAGTGCCTAGCCCAGAGCCTTGCACAAAGCTGTATGCACAAATCTATTAAATCGTCTTCCTCTTTCACTTATCTTTTTAAAATCTTGGGCAATTACCTTAGCAAAATGCAATTCCACTGTCTTTCCCTTCATTTTATTCATGAGTCCAAAAGTTGTCCTTATCAGGAAAGTTGCAGTAATTCAACTGTAACGATCCATCAAGTTATAAGAATTCATCTCTAACAGAGAAAAAAAAAAGGGTCAAAAATTAGAAGTGAAATTAGCCCTAATAAACAACCATTTTCCTCAATTTTTAAATCACTTGAAAGTGCTTGGCATTCCCCACCTGTCTTTATCCAACTCTTGTAACATATTTTTACTCAAAAGATAAAGTTTCTTAAAGACATATAGTTACTTGTTTTTACCCAAGTTGTATTGTCTATCTCTTCTAAACTGTTACATTATAACAGTTTATGTGGCATTATAGCAGTTATGTTTTTCATGGCAACAACATAGCTTCATTATGCATTAAATAGGCTTCTTCTGGGCTGGTCTAGATCACATTTCTATGCCTATTTATGACAGTGTTTCTAGGGAAAACATATAATTCCCAATTATATAGAAAAAGTATATACATTCTTCCATACCTTTCAAGTGATTTTAATGCAGGTGGTTCACACAGAACACATTTGTAACAATTTTAACGGACTGTAACTCTCAATTAAAATTCTAAGTTTATCGAATAATAAACATCATCTTTTGAAGAACACATAAAACTCAGTAACAATTTCAAATCATGATAGAAAGTGCTTCCTGCAAAATGCTAAAGCTTAACCGACATGAAAATAAATCTAGAGCCTTCGTCTGTCCCTACAAACACAAAGCCATAACCCCAAGACTGATTCGCTAAGACAGTGCACTGTAAACTACAATACCCAGAATACCCTTCCCGTCTGAACGCTGGGAACAATCGGAAAAGGAGGGGAAGAATTGTGCGTATAGAGAAATAAGTGTCGGGACTCCATCTCCCACAATCCTCGGTCTTCACTTGTGTCTCTCCGCCAATTTCAACATGCGATTCCCTACAGGAAGAACAGCCTCAAGCGACCTCAAAATACATTTCCCATGAAGCCATGGGCTCGGGCCTCCGGCTTCCCTGGTGACTAGTAGCCAATAGGAGACGCCGCAGTGGGCACCGGGTGGGTGAGAGTCCAGCCTTGGGCCGGAGTGCTGGGCCTAGGCCTGATAGCGCGAGGCGGGCATTTCGGAAGAGAGTGGCGCGGCGTGGGGCCCCACGAGGGCACTACGCGCCCAGGAGCTGCCGCGTCGGCCCGATTTTCCGCGGCTGTATAAGGACTAGCGCTTCGGTAGCCGGGGAGCTGGAGGTCAGAGAGGCAGAAAGCCCGAGTGGCCTTGGCTGGGGAATGTGGGACTGAGGGGGCCTAGGGAGGAGGGTGCTTCCGGGGCCGCGGTCCTCAGCGCCTAACTCCGCCCAGCTCCGGCTCTGCCGGGGAGGGGGTGTCGGGAGTGGGAGTCGGGGGTGGGCTTCTGAGCTCTAGGCGCCTGCTCTCTTTGCTCTTTTTTTTTTTTTTTTTTTGGTCCAACTCGCCTGCTCTTTTTCTTTCACAACGCCGCCTGGCTGCGCCTCCTCAGAGGTCTGAAGTTAGGGTTCGAGTCCAGGGTTTTGCCTAGGTGGTATCTGGACTCTAATTCATACTGCAGGAGTTGGGTGATCTCTCTCCTCTTTTTCCTCAATTTGTATTTCAGGTTTGGGCACACAACCCTCCCTACGCTACACTCCCCATTTCCTCTGGGGCGTGAAAATTCCTTGCCACGCCCAGGGAAAGTTTTTTCAAACTTTCTCTTTTTGCCTCCTTAATTGATCACCATCTTTACCGACTCCTCAGCCACCTGCCACTTACCCCACCACGTCTTTGGAGTGAGAAGGGTTTCTCCTCAATTTCTAGAAGGGATGGGAAGCAAAAGAGGGAAGGAATCTTGCTTTTGAGAAATGGGTGTTTAAGGTTCAGTACAGGGTTCTGGTCAGAGTAAAAGGCAAGTTCGACCGGTTATAAAAACACAGTGCTTTAGGGGTTTCGAGCAAAGACTCATAGCACTAATGTTGACAAACATTTAGGGGGCACACCAACTACAGAATAAAGGAGATAGTGTGAAACAGACTGTATTAATCATTGTATTATTACAAACACGTGCAAAAAATGCTAAAGGAGTTAGTGGAAAAGCATAGTGATGGGGGTGGTGAGTTAATCTATGGAAGTTCAAGCCTAATCCAGGAAATGCTGAAGCCCTCATCCAGCTTTCAGGCTTTGTGAAGAAGGTGAATTTTAATTTGGGCTCCAGTGGAGTACAGGGGATTTGAAGTGGTCAAAGAGGAGAGAGAAAAGCTTCCTGATACTGAGATTGCAGTTTGAGAAGGGTGGTCAGAAGAGGGAGCACTTTGAGACAGGTGGGCTTGCCTCATTGGAATAAAAGATGTAAGCAGGAAATAAATAGGGTTGAGAAGCTGGGGTCATAATAACATGACACTTTGAAACATACACATAGTTTGGATATTATTCTGTATCAAATAAAAATGAAGGCAAAAATTAAGATTGGATGATTTTTCTTTTCATCCTAGGGAACCTGATTTGAGATCAATTCTTGGAGAACACAAAGAAGTGTGATGGTATGTTCCAGGTGTGAGTTTAAATCCAAGAAGAAGCTTGTCTTGCAGATGTTTTGTTTGTAGCTATTCTTAGCTACAGTCTATAGCTGTCAATTTTAAAGCCTAGAGACATCAATTTATTCTTAAGAAATGCATTTGCTATCCCTGTGCATCACATTATCTGAACTGTAGTCATCTCATTGGGTGACAATAATGACTGCTATTTATTGAACCCACATAATGTCCTAGTCATCATCATAAATACTTCATTGCATTATCTTAAGTGTGTTATGAAGTAGGTACTATTCCTGTCTTTTTCTGGAAGAAAAGACCAAAATGCACAGAAGTTAAACAATCCACTTAAAGTTACATAGATTATAAGTTGGGTTGAGGTTTGAGTGTACGGATTTCTGACTCCAAAGCTCATGCTCTGTTCAACTTGGTTTGCTACTCCCAATGTTCATTTTTGTTCTTGACTTTCCAGTTGTGGTAAGGAGAGATTATTGTGAGGTATAGTTGATCATCCTGGCCAAAAACCAAGTGATTCACTTCAAATTTCTATGTCAGAATGTGTTTTCTGTAAAGTAGCTGCTAAAACCAAATTAGCTTAACTGCCATTGCCACTGTAGCTAATTGTGTCTGCCAAAACTATAGTCAGTATGGCTATTTCTGAATTAGATGATTCTCTTTATAAAACATATCATACCTCTAAGCTATTTGGACCTGGAGAGTACTTTGGATTTATTTTATTTTAGCTTTTTCAAAAAGTTACCTTGGACCCTAGATCTCTTTCATTGACCTCTGCCCACATGAAGTATTGGGGAAACAGTGACGTACAAGGCGTGAACTCTTCCTGGGGTCTAGTTGGGGAGCTAGATGCCCACAGTTCTGAGATACTGTAGTGTGTAGTACAACAGAGATGAGTACAAGGTGCTATGGAGTGATAAAGGGAGGTGTGACTCATCGTAAGGGAAACTCAGGGAGAAGGCTTCCACGAGGAAGTGACATGACAGATAGGTTTTGAAGGATAGTGAGTTTGCCCCGGGCAGGGCAGGAGTGGAGGGGAGGCATTCCAGATAGAGGAGTCAGTCTGTGAAAGATGTGTGGCTGTATAGGAGTAGGACATGATCATTCAATGTGGAAGACTTCAGCATGGCTGGAGTGCAGATTATTTAGGAAAAGGAAGGTATAATAGGTAGGAGAAGAGTCTGGAAAGATAGATTGGGGCTGAGTTGTGAAGAACCTTGATTGCAATGCTAAGTTGGAATGCACCCCCATAGGTCAGTGGTTCTCAAAACGTAGGGCATCTGCCAATGGTAGTTACATTGTACTCCCACAAATATTTTAATTTTACTAGTTACATATTCAAATATGTCTTATAAAGCATAAAACTGAACCAAGTCATCACATCTAAGGCTACTTTCGATTTTACTTCATAAAAATAGAAAGTGATCCAGTTTTCAGCTGATTTAAAGACAAATATTAAGTAATTATAGTACATGGTAATATGTACTATTATTGTGAATATGGTAAAAATCACTAAGTAGTACTCAAATGACTGAGTATGTGAGAAGTGCTGCTTGTAGGCCATAAGAAACCATTAACATGTTTTAGAGAACCACGATCAGATTTTTACTTTAAGGACAATGACAGGAAGGATACAGTGGAGGTAGACGTGACTGGAGGCTGCTACTCTTTTCCACAGAGAGACAATAAAGACCAGGAGGGAACAGATTCAAGAAACATTTAGGAGGTAAAATTATTAGGACTTGGTGGATGTTAGTATTATTAGGTCAGTGTTACCAGAATTATTTTAAAAGTCTGCATGCCCCACTTGCCACTTGTCCTTTATATTCTATGGTGAGCAATAATATTGCCAAAACATGCTACATTTCTATGTTCATTAAGATGACAGTGGAAGCTATAGTTACCACTCAAGTGTGGATTTGGATTATACACAACATCCTTCCCACCGTACTAAGTGTCCTTGAGAGCAGTCGCACAAATATTCAAGGCACTGATTAGGAATATGAGTATGATCTGTGGCCCTTAGGCATCCAAGAAACTCCTCAGCCTTTAAGATTCAGCTCATATATTAACACCTCTGCAAAGCCTTCTCAACAACCCCTACCCATCCTACATGAATGCACGCAGAAAGCAATGTTAGGTCTCTGGCTTCCATAAGACTCTGCACTTACCTCTGTCCTAGCCTGTACCATACTGTAGTATGTCGGTCTGTGGATATTTCTGTGCTTCCCACTAGACTGTGAGCTCCTTGAGGGCAGGGACCAGGTTTCATTCATCCCCATACCCATAGCATCCAGAACAGACTTGACACATAGTAGTCAGCTAATAAATGGTTATTGGGTTAAAATAATTGATAAACAGATTTGCATGAATATAAATGGGGACTTTGGTAGCACAGACTGCAAAATGCTATGAAAAGACTAGCTGTTTGCCACATTTGCAACTTTTGCTGAAGAAAGCAGTAAATTAAAGTGCCCATAATTTCACTAAAGACCTATTTTTTCTCTCTTTTCTTCACTCTCCCCTGTTTATCTTACCTTTTTCTTTCTCATCACTTACGTGTCCAGACACCTGTTCCTTAGCCCATTGCTTTGCTTCTCTTGACAGAGTTCACTTTCCTCCTGCCCTGATACTTTTCCAGGAAACATTCCTCCTTCTACCCACCCAAGTCCAGTGCACTTCATCCTTGACATCACTGGCAGATGCATCTCCTCCTACTCATAGACTCTGCTAGTTGATACAGCCCTTCTGGAGAGCAATTTGTCACTATGTATCAGAAACCTTAATGGAATATAGCTTTTAACCTACCACTTCAACTTCTAGGGCTCTATGCTGAGGAAACAATCATGATGTTGTGAAAATTTAATACTCAAGACATCTGTCCCAGAGTTGTTTATACTAATAGCAACAACAAAAAAAGAACATCTTAAATGCACAATACTAGGGATTTGAATGAAATCAATTGTGTTACATTTATAGAAAGGATTACTAAGTAGTCTTAAAGTTGATTTTACCAAACAATATTTAATGAAGTGGAAAATTGTTTTTGATATACTAAGGAAAAATTCCCATCATAAAACTCTCACTACAGAGTGGCAGATCCCAGTTTAAAAGCAAACACATATCACATATACACACAAACACACACATCTGTGTAGACATATATAGGAAAAATCCTGTAATGTTAAACACACACAAAAATATTAATAGGGGTTTGCTGCAAATGGTAAGATTGTATATGACTTCTACTTTTAACCTTTTGCATATTTTTATTTTCTAATCTACAATACATTTGTTAATTTTTAAAAAGTTATTTTGGCCAGGCACAGTGGCTTAAACA